AATAAGCATACTAATAATAAAATAATAATAATAGTAAGTGAACCAACACTTATCAGCTGATTATACCTCTCACCCCTATAGTACCTTATTGGGGACCCTTATCTATATACACATAACGGTTTAACAGTTTACAAAAAAAAATTAACCCAAATTAGCCTCTTGAAACATGACATAATGGCCCCATATGGCACAGCATATAATGGTCAAAAAAAATAATACAAATTAGCCTCTTGAAACATGACATAACAGCCTATATAGAGCAGCACTTAATAGTAAAAAAAAATAACACAAATTAGCTCCTTGAAATATGATATAATGGCCCCATATAGCTCAGCACATAACAATCAAAAAAATAACACAAATTAGCCCCTTGAAATATAACATAATGATCCTATATGGCACAGTACATAATGGTTAAAAAAATAACACAAATTAACCACCTTGAAACATAACATAACGGCCCTATATAGCACAGCACATAATAGTTAACGGTTTACAAAAAAATTAACATAATATAATAGCCCCATATGGCGCAGCATATAATAGTCTACAGTTACAAAAATTTACCTTTAAAACATGTTATAATGACACTATGTAATGCAACATATAATGATTAACGGTTTACAAAAAATTGACACAAATTGATTTCTTAACATATTATAATGGCCCCATATAGCAGTTGTACTTGAAGTTTATAGGAATTGGTCTTCTAAAGCATGTTATAACAGTCCTATTTGGCACAGCCAATGGTTTTTATTTTCTAAAGACATGTGATCAGGAGAGAGACTTTATATCGGCATTGCAAATTTAGCTTATTATCACACACAAGGCACCTTAAAGCACTAAACCAATTAATTACAGTAGCAATACAAGTATCGCTGAAATGGGCCTATCTTATTAAATTAAAGATATTATTTTATTTTAAAATGAGTTGTGTTGGCTTTTAAAAATAAGACGCTCTTTCATTTTGAAAATCTAACTCTGAAATTATTCTCGAAATCAAGATGAAAGTC